GCAATGGAAGTACTATTTAGCTCGAAGATAGGGCAATGCTTCATCGTTGCAGCCATTGCCTAATATTCGAGAGTTTTAGTACAGTTTGTACCAGTAAGGTGATAATAAAATAATATTTAAGGTTTGGCTCGATATTCTTCTTCCTTTGATTCTGAACAGGTCGAGCCTCGGTTGAGGCGCGTTGGTGAATAAGAAAACGTTTTTAATATATACATATAAGTAATAGAAAAGAAAACCAGAACGTCGGTTAAAATAAGGAAATGCAAATGCACGTCTGCCGTGTGTACCTTTCTTGATGCCGTTCAAAAACGCACGGAGCACGGACCGATTTCAGTTTACTCCGGTTTTCTCCAGATAGACTTCCGCTGATGCCACGGGCAGCGAAGGGCAGAGAACTGAGCCACACTATGGCTCCCCACTCATGAGTTTCACTCCCTCCTCAAGCCCAGAATCTCAAGTCTACGTCAGCCGCTATTATGTTTTATTTGTAAAGATCTCTTATCTTTTATTTGTAAAGATGCGTCGTGCTGAAATACAAACAGCGAAACAAAAACGGAAGACAAATATTATTTTCCGAGTGATCGCAGAAGCTGACTCACAAAAAGGGTGGCTGAGATGCGGATAACTTGGCTGAAATTCACAAATAAAATGGGCCAACCCTAGAAATTGGACCACAAAAAAGTAAGTATCTTTCAAAACAGGTTCAAATAATATGAAAGAAGCAGAAAAAAATGAATCCTGTTTTCTAAGAGAAGAAGATAAGTGTGCAGCAACGAACGAGGATGCTTGTGGCAATAACAACTTCACATATTATCAGATCCCTTTAAGTAAATTTTAGGGCAGACGGAGCGTTGTCTCGTGTTGTGACATTATGAAAATGGTCGTAGTTACTATAACCGAGAAGGACATTGTTAATTATTGTCTGTGCACTTACCGCCTAGAGTTTCTTGAAGAGGCATGCAATCACTTGTTGTCCACCTCTACCCGCCTTCGATCGCAAAGAAAAAAACAAAGACACTAAAAATGCGGATATAACTTGCCCCCCCCCCCCCCACACACACACACACACCCCGCCCCCTTTTTTTTTTTTTGTAGAAATGCTTATTTGGATTTTATGACATTGTTGTTCGGGTCTAAAAGGAAAATAAATTCAGGGGCTTGGTGTTGAAAAAAAAAAAAAAAAAAGGCTTTGCAGAACTGAAGAGAGCCGAGCCTCCTTTTGCACTGGCCAATGCGCGTGACAGTGTCACTGCGCTCAACTTTACCAAAATAAAAACGACCTTTTCTTTAGAAGCGGGGAAGGGGGGGCTAGTCCTGAAAAAAATGTAAAGGATTACAAGGAATCCGTTACGTAAAAAATGTAAGGGAACTACTTTAAAATTACTTTAGAAAAGATGTAATTATTCCGTTACTAAATTACCGATAAATGTAAGGGATTACAAGTAATTTCGTTACTTGTAACGGATTACGTACAAGTCTGGTGGTGACCTTGCAAGCGGCGCAGACAATGGAATGCTGGATGAGCTTTAATGGAAACTGTACCTTTTAAAACGCTCCCAAGATTATTCCACGAGATTATTACCCAGGCAAAGACGGAGCTCATTCAGAAGGCATTTTGAAGGGGCGGAGTCAAGCAGAATTGTTGCGTCCATGGTGGAATGAACGCAAATAGAAACGACGATAAATAGCACAAAAAGGACAGGACCGAGGGTTGACCAGCTTATGAAGGTTCGTTTAAGAAAGACAAAAAAAAACTTTTTCTTTCAGTGGACGTGCCTATGCGGAATACACGGCCCTATGGTATTGATGTCCTTATCTCCCAGCGCGAGACCACGTGTAAGAAAACAAACATTGTTGACGCGTTCAGCAGTTTCGGTCTTGTTTACCATGATCCTGAGCTTGGAGATTAGAACGTCAATGTCACCATACCATGTACTGGGCAGGGGGGAATAGAATGTCAATGTCGCCATACTGCGTATTGGGTTTGCCCACACTCACCGATAGCATCCGTAATTTATCTGTTATCGTTTTCTTTTTTTTCATACTTTTAGTTATTAGCGAGAGCTTTGGCCTTGTTTTTCAATCTTTCGTCGCCGTTTTTAATTGCGCTGTTTTCACCAGGAACACATAACTATTCATTCTAAGTGTCGTCACCTTCAGGTCAAGGATGTAAAATTTCACAAAAAAAAAACAACAAAAAAACACCAGCTGCTGCATTGGTTCGAATTCGTTCTGTCAGTAATTGAGCACGGGTTGTTGAAAGACAGTCTGTTATAAACCTTGAAAGTAGGATTCAACACGTTCGAAATTTGAAAATCCGGATTTAGATTTTCGGCATTTAAGCAATCCCGACACCATAAGGTTTCCACATTGCCTAAGCCGGATTGCCAAATATCAAATCGTTTTTACAGGATCTCGACGTGTCTCTGAAGGATGACCATGTGAGGTTCCCACTAACAGCCGTAACAATAAACCGATTGAAAACTCTTTACTTGATTACGTAGCGATGATTTGAGCAGCTAAGCATTTTTTATCGATTGCGTGTAGGCGTGCACAACGCCCTTTTTAGGTACCTTCTTTGTATCGTGGTTTTTATGGAAGAGATTACAAAATTTATTTTTGTGCAATTTGCGGTAACAGTCGTTACTGGCAAGGATTCGCGGCTGATCACATATGTGCATTGTGCAAGTCGTGGCCCGCAAAAATTATCGGGAATATTTCTACGCTAAATTTAGCGCGGAAGCATTGCGTTGTGTGCCATCTTGCATGACGTCACAAACTTCCTACGAAATGCTGTGTAGAGTTTAGTCCCGCTAGATTTAACAAAATCATTTTCACGCTAAATTTAGCGTTATAATTTCTTAGCTATATTTATTTTCACGTGAGGTCGTGGCGTCACGTGACAACACAGTGTCAGATGAACACCTGCCGTTAAATTTTTAAATTTGGCGGAGCCTAAGTGCGCTAAGTTTGAACGCAGCAGTGTTACTATGCGGAGAGCAAATTGTCTGCTTCTTGCACAGGTGTTGCGGTCACGTCAGAAAGACGCCGAGCTATAATTGGCCTTGACTGAAAGGACAGTGGGCACTGGGTACGGTGTATGCCCCAATGCTGGATGCCTTGAGGTCTACCCACTATTCTATCTTTTACAATCAGCCAATAAGAGCTCACCATTCTGACATCATCGCAACCCGTGTGCAAGAAGCAGGCGAACTTGCGCTCAACATAGAGTTTAAGAATAGCGTAAAAACTCTTGCGTTAGTGCCGCGTACAACTCACGCAAGCTATCAGCGGAAGCGCTGCGGAGCGCGTCAAAATTGCGCTTTTAGCAAAACAGAACGCAGACGCACTTGCAAGCAGTTGCACCGCCATCTGTAGATGTGTCCATGCAGTCTGCTCCACGTAGTCTATAAGGCCGGTATTCGGTCGACCCAGTCTGAGTGTAACGCTGTTCCGCCCGCGACGACAGTAACGAGAGGGGAACGCAGAGGACTGCTGCGTACGCCCGCAAAGGTCGGTAGCGAGCGTACGTACGTAATACTGACGGCATTGCATACGTATAGACTATAGAGCTTGCGCAGTGCGGAGCGTACGACGCTCACGCAAACAAAGAACGTTTGCGTTTGCTCTTATACGCAACACTAAAACTCTCTATTATCTAACAGTGCGCATGGCCGCGCCCTTAGCGAAAACTAAACGTTTGAAATAGGTGCATATGTCTTTCCAACGTATTTTAAGTGTATTTCGTCACATCAAATAAAATGAAAGTTTACTAAAAGGACACTTTTCTGTTTTTAATGTCCTAATAGACATATATTTTCATAAATAATATGAAAAGAAAGTGTGTTATACGTATACTTCCAGCACATCTCAAATACACTTAAATGCATAAATACTATGTTACTACATTTCAAAATTCATTTCAGCAATGTTTTGTAAATATGAATTGATTTCGCTTAAAATGTTTTTGAAGAACATGAACATATAAAAATACTGTTAATGCTTTCAAAAGGCATATCACATATACTTGTAAATATAATTTATATTATACTTTTCGAGCGCAGCTCTTAGGGGCCCGTTTGCGGCTTGAGCGGCGTCGGCGTCGCCGTCACCGTCGGTGTAACCGCAAGGTCACGTGACCCCCCCCGAGGTCACGTGACCCCCCGAGGTCACGTGACCCCCCGAGGTCACGTGACCCCCCTCCCCCCGAGGTTACGTGACCCCCCCTGACGTCACACGACCCCCACTGAGGTCACGTGACCTCAAGGAGTCTCCTATCCCTCAGTACGCTTTCATCCTCCTCCTCAAGAGCTGCACTCTAATCCGGCGTTACGGGGAATTGTAAACGGCTTTCATTTTTTTAGACACATTTTAATGCGGTTAGATCATGTTTTTCGGCTATTTTAATGCATTGTAATATATTATAGTATATAAAAACGCATTTCGGATGTGGACACATAAAACACGAAATAATATGTGTATTGTATTTGAAGTACCGTCTTTTATTGCTTAGGGCAGCGTCTCCTCTATAGCCGCTGCTCATTTGCAGGACACAGGAGGGAACGCTGTCTGATTTGTTTCGCTGTGATGGCAAACGCGCCAACCAGACGAACGCCGGTTGATCGGCTCAAGTGGACGGCAGCGTCGAAAAGCGTTCGGACTTTGCGCGAAACGTAGTTTAATCAACCTCAAGCGAATAATATTGTTGCTATGGCCGATGAAATGCTGGTACGTTATCAGTTAGGGTAAGCGTATGGTAAATTTGATCGAGTATTATATAGTGGATGCGCATATAACTACCTTTTGTACACTCGGGTTGTTAAAAACAAACTTTCTCGGTACTGCACTCAAAGTATGTAGGGTTTCAGCGCTCTGTTGCTCCAGTCTCGTAAATAGGTCACTTTTTGATACTAATAACGACATTTTAGAGAAACTGATAATGAGATGTTAAAAGAAAAAATTTCAAAAGTTCCCCCCTTCCCTTTCTTTTCTTTTTCCAGGTAACCCTATAGTGTGCAACCACACCATCTCCTGGCTGCTCCGTGGAGAACTCAAAGGAAAGGTGGTCGGCCGCTGCGCCGAGCCCATGGAGCTGGCCGGAATGTCCCTTGCTGATCTCGATGATCTCAGGTGGGTTGCCCGCTGCAAGTAACGTGCAGCAAACACAGTTGACCACACACTTTAAAAACCAAAACAAAAAACATTACAAAAATGAAAGACGTTTACAAATCTTCGTAACGCGAAATTAGAGCGCAGGTCTTGAAGAGGAGGACCTGAGGCTACCGAGGGGAGGGTATCCCCCTCCTCCTCGTCCATACACTCTCCACCTCCCCTTCCCCTCTCCTCCTCTTCTCTTCGTCCTCCCCTTCTTTCCTCCTCCCCTCCTCCTTCCATCCTCCTCCTCCTCTCCCCTCCACCGCCACCTCTTTTCCTTCCAATTCCTCCTCATCCTCCCCTCGTTTACTTCCTCTACCGTACCCTCTCCTCCTGCTCCTGCGCACCCTCCCATCTTCCTCCTCCATTCCCTCCCTTCCTCTCAATGTTTCCCCGCTAAATTTAGCGGAAAAATTGACGCCAAGTGACTTCAACAGCAATTGTATTCCTTACTTAATTTAGCGGGGAATGCAATTGCTGTTCAGGTAACATGCTGTCAATTTTCCCGCCATATTTAGAGGGAAATTGAAGTGCTGTTGAGGTCACCTTACGTCAATTTTCCCGCTAAATCTAGTGGAAAAACTGAATTTGTTCATAGGGGACGTGACACCGAGTCATGTGACGTCATTTTCGCCGCTAAATTTAGCGGCGAATTGAATTGGTGCTAAGGTCACGTGACGTCAATTTTCCCGCTAAATTTAGCGCGGTTTACGCCGACGGCGACGCCGAAGCCGTGAAACCCGGAAACGGGCGCCTAAGAGCTGCGCTCTAAAATAATCACATAAAGCGTGATGCGACTTGCAGCGACAGCTGTTTCATTGTTGGAAAGTGTGCTTTTTGATATTTTCCTTCAGTCGATGACACCGGGGCCTTCCCGTCTTCGGCACTTAGGCCTCTCGTGTGTGCTAGGCAAGGTGCCTGCGCCCCTTGCCGTTCTTGTGTCGCTTCGGCCCTCCGTCCACAGATGCTCAGTGCGTCGCGCTTGCCGTTCTCCCTCCTCGAAGGGAGAGCAAGGTTTACGTGGTCTAGTCATGTTTGGTAGGGGGGATAGAACTGAGCAAGAGGGCCACCCGATCCATGTGTTCTTGAAGACGCTCCGGAGAACCTTCCAGAATCCCAAAGTGGTTGCGTCGGCGATTGCGGAGCTGTGTCTTTAGGGAGTTTTCGTAGACCGCGTTTCCCCCTGCGCTAAGCCCACCCCAACGAAGAAGCCGCTACGGCGCCTGCCGTAGCGGCTTCTGTCCTTGGCTTTGGCCTTGGCTGGAGAGTTCCGGTTATTGTAGCGGGTTGCGGAGAGCGTTGCGGGACAGCGAAAACGATCTACGAAAACTCCTTTTTGTGGTTGGCGGTGACGGGATGGAGCGAGAGAGAATAACGCGTCTTGACATAGATGCCGTAGTTGTGTGACAGGCGACAGCAATGGAAGGTGAGCGATAGCGCGGCGGCAATGGGGCGAAGCGGATCACGTGATGACGTGGGCTTTTGCCTACGAACACCGCCCGATTTTCGCTGGAAACCTACAGCTCTAAAGAAGTTAAAACTTTAAATTATGTAGAGAGCCGATTTAAAGGCTTTTTGCAAAACTCCTTCCGCGGCGCCGGAATATATAGAACTGGCTGTGCCAGGCGAAACAGTGCGGGCGAGGGCATGACAAACAACTGCGCCACACACAAACACAATCTCACTTTTACAGCGAAGCTGTACACCCCTACCAGCCAAGAAGATTTTCGTGTCGTTGGCGTTGTAAGCAAAAACTCCCGGCGAACAATTGAAGGCAAAACAGCCTACCTCCTTTAAAATCAGGCATACAGCATACAGCTCACTGCTCTGTTTCTATAAGGAAAACCACAACACAAGCATCAAAAACCACATGATGAATGATAAGGCGCGTGTGTACAATAGAAATATCCTTCCACGCGTTCCGGTAAAGATGAGGTTTGCAGCTCCTTTGAAAGGTGTTGACGTCATTCAAAGACCTCGTGTGAAGTGCAAACCACATAATTGATGATAACGGCGCCTGCGAACAGTGCGAAGCACGTTCCTTGTTTCTCCGTGTGTTTTCGTGTCTGTGTTCTCACGGAAAAAAAGACTTCAGAAGATTGAAGCGAAAAGTGCAAACACTACGCATACAACATAGAGCGCAACATTCGTTTCAATAAGGAATAAGCCCAAAACAAGCATCATAACCATATAATGTACGATAAGGAGCTCCTGAAAACAATGCGAAGCACTTAGCGTTCACCGCATACGTTCCCGGTGAAGATTGCTGTTGCCCAAGCTGCCACGGCGACGGCAGCTTACGACGTGAGGAGTGACCGTCATTAGCCTTTCATATATAAAAAAAAGAGCCCGCCTATACTCCGTTTCACCTTACATCCAGACGCAGCGGATACTACGAGCTATCTTAAGGCTAGCCCACATGGTGCGCTTTTCTCCGCGTCTGCGTCGCGTCTGCGCCTGCGCTTTGACGTCACTTCCGGCGCCGGGACGAAACGCAGCGTTTTTTGGCGCATCCCGGCGTGTCTGGAGGAGCCAGATATTTTGCGTCCACGCGTCGCGTCTCGCGCTGCGTCCAGAAGGCAACAACCAATGAACCGCCGTGTTCACTAGTTGCAAGGAGCGTTTGAATTTTCTCCACTGTAGGACTGTAGTTTTCGCTACAGACCTCGCGAGATAGGCGATAATAATAATAATAATAATACTTTTTATTTGCACATATTGCGATACTCACTCGGCAGCGTGCGAGGCTAAGCAAAAAGGTCGAGACCCTTACGCAGGTGGGCCTGCTAGCCCGCCGCCAAGTAGGGAAAGGGATACGGGAAAGGAAAATAAATAAAAACACTCAAAACAGAAAGATACACACAAAAACGGGTAGCAGCCCTGTGCCATTCCAAGGCAAAGCGCACGCGCGCACGCACACACACACCCGCGCGCGCGGAGTTTACAAAATTTGCACGCTCGCGGCCTTACATAAAAACGGCTTTTAGGCCCCGCCAACGCTAGCAACAGGGCGAACATGGGTAGTTACGTCCTTCCCCCCGCGGATATCAGTTTATCATACCTTTTACACAAGTCCAGGGAATCCTCTCTGCTCCGCGGGAGAGGCTGACGCTGCTTCAGCGGAACAGAGAGGACCTAGCGAAGTACAAAAGCGTCCTGCACTCTCGCAGGCCAAATGTAAAGAATACAAGGACACCGAGAGACAAAGGTACAAAATTAATACTACCGGCAACAACCGCAACAACGTGACCACTGTAGCGGCCAGCGGCCAGCTGTAAATGTTTTGGCGCGGGCGATGGTGATGCCAATGGCGTATCGAAACGTGGATGAGGCGTACGCACTAAAAAGGATGAAAATTAGTGAAATTTAGCTTCATTGCGATTGCTGTAATAAAAATGAGTGCTTACTATTACGAAAATTAAATATCACGGCATGTAGCCATCATTTACCGCGCGATTTCTATTTAATGTTTGCTTTTGTTTCTTAAGCGCGTCTGGCTACGTTGGGCAGACGCTTCGGAAACGCAGACGCGAAGCGCTGCGCGGTAGCGCTGCGTGTGGTTTGACTGGGCGCACGCGTCCCGCTTAGCGCGCGCGTCCAGCCGAGACGCGCGTCTAGACGCACTGAAAAACGCGCCATGTGGGCTAGCCTTTAGCCGCGGAAAGCGTATTACGTGGCCCGTGATACGCGTTCCGCGCGTCGCTGTGCCCCCTCTCTAAGGTCACTTGACTCTCACACGGCCTCGATTGGCTCCGAAGGCTCGTAACATCCGCTGCGCTTAAACGTGAGACGAAACGGAGTATAGCAACTGATTTCATTGTTGCTGCAGCACCGCGATGAATAGGCCACGCATAGCTAGGACTCCCTAGGAGCAGCGTGAATACTATAGGGTCGACAAAGGGAAAACAAACGGCAATACGACCGGCGGCGACATGCTGGGACCGGCGGCGGCATTTTGTATGGTGCAGTAGGCAATCATTGCAGGTGATGCCGCAGCTTCGCTGACCAACAGCTTTCACAGCGTGGATTGAAGCCCCGACCTTTTTTTTTTCTCACAAGCTCACTGTATTTATTGTCACGTGGCGGAAGCTGATGAGGCAAGGAGAAGCATAAGGGCTCTACCATGATTCGCTGCGTGCTTTTTGTGCGAGGCCTTCTGGGACTTTTGGCAAGAGGTTTGTTTGCGAAGCACTGGATTGAGACGCCGACCTAGGTCGGCTCCGGAAAACGAATTCCCGAAGAAGCCTTTGACACGTCAAGACACAGGCCCCCTACCAGCACGCTCTTTATTCCAGGGAGAGGGGCTCTGCGATTAAAAAAAAATCGTTTTGTAACACTCCCTTGTCCCTTATACGACAACCCCAACCTTCAGTTCGACATACAGCGCACTGATGTCGAACCGACGGTACCAAGATTCACGAACGGCTTCATAGCCGAGTGGTGCAACTTATCAAAATCTCTATGTACGTGTTACTGACTACAAAAAAGGTGGGGCTTTCTCGGCCCTGCTGCAAAACGTCAGTGTTTTTTCTGTAGTCTTTGACATGTACTTTAGCTGTTTAATGAGGTATATATCACCGTTCTCAAGCGCCTCGCAAAAGTTGGAACCGTCTGTTCGACATCAGTTCCCTGTACGTCAAGCTGAAGTTTTGGAATGTCGTATATGGGACAAGGGGTGTAAGAATACACCCTTTTTTTTCTTTTGATAGTGAGGGTTTACAGAGATGCAAAAAACACATCTTCATTCAAACAGCACACTTTTTCCTTCGTGAACCGGTTCCATTCTGTGATCGTTCGAACAAAAGAAGAATTGGCAAACATGCTTGTCCTAGCGCGGTACCCTCCAATTTTAAGACTTCGATAATTCCGACTAAACAAATAATAGGATTGTTTTAGGTAAGTACGTCTCTCTATTTACTCCAGTTTTATTTAGTATGCCTTTTTTTGGAAGTTGCTCTCCTTAAAGGCGAACGGGG